AGCAACCTTATGAGTAGCACATTACAAAGATATACATGTATCGCGATATCTCGAATATCGTAGCGACTAAAGCATGAGGCAGCCTGGTGCAGCACATTCAGTTGCCTGAAAACATCATAAACGAGAGATTCAGCTGGGTTCCAGGTAAGTCTCTCGAAAGAACCAAATTGGTTTGCAAATGAGTGTATATTCGCTAATTCAGCACAAGTTCTTGCATTATGACGAAATTGTTGCTGGAAACCCCCTGTACCAATTGTTGGTGACCCAACTATTCATTAGCATGCTGTTTTTACGAAAAGGATAACAATAATAATGTATAGTACCATTCGGTGGTATGAACGATTTGGTCGCAAGCAAATGACCCAGATTCTTGAGTCTAAATCCGACTTCGCCTAAGAAAATTGGGCTCATCCCACTTTGTAAAACAGGGAAATGCCGGTTATGGCTCCCGCTGCTTTAGTACATACATTGAAAAAAATAATTGGAAACGGCTTCACCATACACATACTACTTCACCACCAGCTACTTCAACTCAGAATTTGATGACATGGTCCTCATAATTTCGTACCTGTGACCTTTGGGTGAGTAAGTGAACTTGTCGCAAACTTTCAATACCCGCAGAATATACATCATCTGAATAGAAAAAGAAATGTTTGGCAAATCACACACAAATGGTTTTCTATGGGTTGCTCGGCCCTCGGGGTAAAATGGTTCATTGCTTTGGGAGGTACCGCGTGCGGAATTCTTCGTCTCTGGGAGATCTTGCACATAATGCCTTTCATTGTTCACCTGTATGAAAAGCGGTAATAGGATGATTCATTTTGCTGTAAATTCAGAAAATAAAATTTCTCACCTCCTTCCGGATTATTTGATACAGTTTGTTGACCGGCAGTACTAGACTGATCAAGAGGCTTTGCAGCTCCACCCGTCTGTCCTCGGCTGTGTGCCAGCGCATTTGAGTTGGATTGACCCGGTTTCTCTGGTGTGCCGTCTGTCGTCATTTGGGTGTTATTGGTTTCCGAATCTTGGTCGGACGTGGTTGATAGAAACTCATTCAGTCGACCATGCCGCGAGCGTACCAGCTGCCGGTAGGTTCCCAGTTCGACAACCTGCCCGTCAGACAGAAGGCCCACTCGGTCGGAGAACGCCAGGGCTTTGGAACTGTGCGTGGTCAGAATGCATGTCTTATTAGACAACAGGCCCTTAGATCTGCTTAACACTTCATTCAGTATGTGTAGTCCAACGTGGGCATCAACGGCCGAAAGGGGATCATCCAACAGATAGATGTCTGCATCGGCATAACATGCCCTGGCTAGGCTGGGATGTGTATAAAAGGATGATGGATGAAACCGGTGTATGCAGGGCTGAATGGATGCTCACAAGTTTACCAGCTCCAAAGTGATAACATCTTACCACTTTACTAACCGGCTTTTACTTAACTGCTATGAAATGTTTGCGACATCGTTCAAACTTTTCTTGCCATAATCCCCTGTTACAGCCAACAGCTACGTGCTTAGAGACATAGAATGAGATTACATCATCGTGAAGATAAGACGTCATATAATAGCACCAAAACGACTGCTGGCAGGCAGTTGCGACGCTACTTGATAAGGAGGTCCTGAAAAGCAGATACTCAAAGGTGCATACAGGAGGGTTACTGGGCAGCAGTTCAGGGCTGGACTAACTTGGCTGAAGGATGCCCTCTAATGTAAAATGATTCAGCTGCATCTAGTTTGCCGCGCAAACATTCAGTGCATTTAAATCAATCAGATAAAACCACAATCGGCCTTTCTCAAAAGGAATAATCGCCAGGTTAACGTAGCGATGATCTGGAGTGAAGTACACCCAGTACTGGTTGGGGTTGAAGAAGACTTGGCTTTCTCATCCTGGCTGTATGGTAGGCAAAAACGACACACATGCGTCCGCCTATTACACTTAGAAAAAGTTAACTTATTCTACTTTGCTAATGCAAGATGCGCCTCATCTCTTTCTATCTAAGCAAAACCAAGTGCAATGAATTCTTTCTTTGTTTTCCAAATCATAACGTCAATCATCATCCTGCGCTCTGAGGCCGAATACAAACGACACGAACGCATTGTCAATTAAGTGCAGTCAAACACAACAGATGTGAAAATCCGCCGACTGTTTCACAAGACAATGGACTAGGAAATTTGCATTCGGCTAAGAATGACAATGCATTAGAATAATGAAGTGCAAATTGTGATTTTTTTATTGCATACGACTTGTCCTTTTCCATTTGAAGAATACAAGTGACCAACGAGTTGATTTGGCTCACTTACTCATTGGTTAGAGCCTCAACCGTAATATTCCCTTCGTCAGCTAAAACCTCGGTAAAAAATCCGTCATTTCCACACATTATGAATAGCACACACAACTACGATCGAGGTAGTTGACAAGGGACTCCTACCAATCGCTGATAGAACTTAATCATTTCTCACATATCAAAAGTAGATGTTTGTGAATAAGGCGCCTAATACGACTTTGTCTAATCGAGGCGTTTTGTCATCATGATCTGAACCAAACACTCTCTAGCTGGTGGATATCTCTATCAGATAGTTTACTGAAAGCGTTACCGGATATGTAGTGCTTAATGCGTAGTAAGCCTATTCATGTGAACAATCATCTAAACGGTCGACTTCCCCTTTTGAACGCACACATTCAAGCGCCCCAACATACCATTTACTTCAAAACAGCTGAATGCACAATCCACCTATTCCTCTACACAGCACTATTTCATTTCGACCTTTCGGTGGCATCCTTCCTACGTAGTACAATGTCAATTCCTATCATGGTGAGAACCACTGGATTTCAGCACTCTCATATGACTACGTAGTACAGTGTCAATTCCTATCATGGTGAGAACCACTGGATTTCAGCACAAAACTCTCATATGATGAAATGCGAGCAATGCTGAGTGTGCGAACAATTTGTCCGTTCGCATCGGCTGACGGACTTCAGGAAACAATAAAAAACAGTTCATATTATCATTACGGCGAATTTCTTTGAGTAAAAAAGTCGAGTTAGGAGTTTTCAAAGACCTTAACAGAAAAGAAATGAGTCCGTTGACTGGAAGAAGACGGATGCAATAAAGGAACCGGGCATGATAGTTGACTGACCAATATCACCCACATCAAAACGCATGCAATCCTGCTGTAATGGCAGTTTTACTTGGACGGCCATTTCTAGTTCTTTTCTGTTTTTCGTGTACCTAAAACACCAGCTTTTTTTGTGTCTGTGCATATTGAACATCCTAACAGGGACTGTCCTGGAGAAGCCACACACCACCCGCGAGTACACAACACTAATCGTATTCAATGAGTTGGTATGCCCAATATCGATCCTGTTGAAGACACCTCATAAGAGAAGTTAAATAACCCTTTTTCAGTGGCCGCTTTCTGGAGACCCCGTTTTACTCAGCGGATCGATCACAGGCTCAATATGCGTCAGCAGCATGTCCCATTTCGACATTCTTTGGTGGGTCTTCAAACACCAAACTAGAAAGTTACGTGATTAGTTAGAGTATCGCATATAATGCCACGCGGACAAGAAGCGAAGGTAGCGTAAGAAAAGTAATAAAGCTAAAGGAATTGAACGGGTACTATGTTTATTCCGTTCGCGTGGTAGATGCTTGTACTCTGTGAGGTCGACACGACCTTATAACGCATGATTCACTATAGACTAAACCGCTAATATAGGTCTTCCGCAATTCAGGCTAAAATAGCCACCGCAAGACCTGTTGGATGGGTTTGAACGGAGACGAAACAACACTACAGAGAGGCTAGAAGCTTAAGTGGAACTATTCTGCCAATGATGAGTGTTGCTTCACGGGATAACTGGGCACAGATTCCATTCAGAGTTAAAACAATTTTCTGGAGAAGTCGCTTTTATTTGATGAATCTGGTGCGCCAGGGTTTCTGAATTATTGCGAACAAACCCTAAAGCGAGGAGTCGGTTGTGAATGGATTGCTATGTGCACCGCATACATACTTGCACTGTAACAAAAACCTAGCACATTTGTAACGGAATTACCATGGGATAACTTGAACTAATGAAAACAATCTGAGATGGCGGTGAGGAACAGAAATGATACTATTTGAACTCATTGTCATTTCAAGCAGATTATAACCTCCTAAATCGGAATTTCTTAGTTTTTTTTTCAATGAAAAACATAACCAACTTACCTCACACGTTGTTTCTGACCACCAGACAAATTGATTCCCTTGTCACCAATTTCTGTCAAATCACCGTTGGGCAGGATTTCCAAGTCTGGCACAAGAGAGCAAGCCTGGATAACCTTTGCATATCGAACCGGGTTATAGGGCTTGTGAAACAGGATGTTATCTCTCAGCGTGGCGTTGAAAATCCAAGGTTGCTGCGGCACATATGCTACTGATCCCTAAGAGAAGACCATGAAAATCCCGTAAAGCGTTACCTACGGATTCCATCAAAGTTCGGTATTTCTCTAACGAGTAGTCATCCATTTTCAAGTCAACATCTATTAGTCTACCATCGTCAGCTCCCCCAGATGTGAGTAGAATAATAAAGTGACTCAGCGACTTTGTTTCGATAACACACGAAAGAATCAGCTGGGAGTTGTGTATTAGTCAGCCTGCATCAAAAATCTAAGTCATCAACTGAATGAGTGAACAAAAGCAATTATTTGTTGTTCAAGAGGACACCTGAGGGCGAGCAGGGTAAGTGGATTCAGGTTCAACAGCTGGACATCGACAGTCAAATTTAAAGCCACATATGTGAAGTCGGAAATCTCCCACATTAGCTCGAATGGCTGAGCGATAAAGGTTGTCTTGCTAAAATGAACACCAACGAAGGGAAACATTTCGACAGAGTGACCAGACTTTTTAAAAAGGTTTAATAAACAGCGAGTGAATTTTTACGGTTACTCAAACTGTATCGTGGTAGATGTGCAGACTAGTGAAGTAACTCAAGTACTAAGCGTCGGATGGTATAGCGGAGAGCACTTGACTGCATGCTTTGTGGTTTTAACTCATTCACGTATTTCAGACTGCTCTATACGGAGTTCAGTCGCCCAGCGTAGTCACAAACCTCATGCTTCGTCCGAGCCAAAATGATACCAAAGTTCAACTATTTGTCGAGTTTATCACCCTGTTTAGTTATGGACTGCAGTTGCACAGAAACAAGTCAACATGAGTAAAGCAGTGTAACTTGAAATTAGTTTCCCCGACTAGGAGCACTACAGTTCCCCGGGCTAAAAGAACACATCTCAGATCTGAAGTGGTGCAGCCAAATAAAGCAGTTTGTATAGTCAGTTCCTTCCAATATTAGAATGCTGGGAAAACTATTTATCACACAACTTGTTTCACACCAAATACCCAGAGGGAAAGTAAACGATGCAGACGCGGTCAATAACAATGTCCGTATGGAGGAGTAAAAATATCAGCTCATCTCTGTGTATGTAGCATGTCCTGCGGACGATACTCTAGAATGGTGCTTATCAGGTATACAAGCAATGCTTGGAACTGACCACAAACACAAAGAAGTCTTGGATAAGCAAACTGCTTCAAGCGTCAAATGGAACAGAGTGATGTGGGTGGATGGCGGCGAGGAGCAATCTTGTGATCGGATTAAAGAGTAAGGCTGTCTCCCAAAAGTCCGCAGGAGCAACCAAATTAGTCAGGGTACCTGCATACTTCACGCAGTGGGTGAAACTTATTCGTCCCTTGCAAGAACAGGATAGCCCCTGAATAGTTTTTTTCAGCATCTTATCCCTGTTTGGGTGTTCTCTGTAATCAAATAGAGTAAACGTCTACTTCGAAAAAGGATTGTGGATAGCATACATGGTAAATTTCATCGAGCGAATCGGAAAATCTATTCTCCTGTACCACATTGTTAACATCACACTTTAATAAGTGTGGATTTCGAATGCTTGTTCAATGGCATGAGTGGTTCTGTTGTCCAAGTGAAATAGAAGCATTCCAGCGTTGTTCTTTTCGGAAAAATTGTTTTGGTTGTACTGAGGAGGCTCAACTGGACCGGTAGACTAAAACTACACAGTTTCCACTTCTTCTTTCTGCAGCTCACGACAGTGATGTTGTGACCATCAAGTCTTGAAAAGACCGGAGTCACCAACCCTAACCCTATAGCGTTGAAACTGAACGGGTAGCGGAACAAGGCATACAGAGAAAATTCAAATTCAGAAAAGTTCCAAGAGGTTTTTAATGAGAGACAGACTGAATAATGACCGACTCAAGATCATTGAGAGAAAAATTTCCTTACAGGAATCGCAACCGTTCGACAGGAAAACCGATTGTGTTTCTCATAATTTCATCAACTCTCATCAGCTGGGCCATCGCTCGATGTCGCCAGCACGCAAGTCATTTAGTTTTAGGTCCAATAGCCTATCCTTCATTGAGTCGTGAAACCCACGGAATTCAAGCCGTTCTGCTTCCCACCGGTGTTGTAACATTATACGTAGTGTCCGCACGGGCCTAGCAACAACGAAACACATCGTCGGCAGTTGGTTCAGCTGATTTAGTCACCCAAGTGGACTTCAACCAGAGGAGTCTCTTGATTGCTCCTTCAAGTTCGCCCCAATCCTACTTAGCTTTGCGATATGGACAACGGTGAATATGGTTCAACCGTCCAGTTCATTATGTTCAAGATTAAACCGGACGATCCAAATGAGAGTGTTCGGTAAAGGTCATCAGTAGTTTGGCGAAGCAGACAACGTACCACCAACAAAAGTGGCTTAATGCGAGAGAAGTATGCGATCGCCTGTAAACTGATGTAAGTTGGAATTCGTATGTCCTGTTTGGAAAGGCATACACCATCTTCGGGGAATTGGGAGCATCTACGTTGACGTCCTTCACCACGCATGACGTAATCGCTGTTCGGGAGCGCCGACTGTGATAGATCTTGGACTGACGATGCCGTCAACCATCAATCCTGACCTAATCGCTGTTCGGGAGCGCCGAGCAACTGTGATAGACATAAGCGTAGTCTGGGATGGGCGTGGAGTGACTGAGTGGAGTGAGAAGTAGCAGAATTGTGGTTCTGACGAATTTTCCCTCGCTATAATTTCAGCCTTACGTCAACGTTTTGGTACACCAACCAATGATCATTTCTTATTGAGGGATCTGCTTTCCGTCAAGGCTGGCATTCGACTGGGACATCCTAATGTCACAGTCAGTGACTTGTGTTCGCTTGCCATTTCTCACTCTCAGCGTACTTATGACATTTTTGTGCGTCGTACATGGCACTGATCGTTCACTCTTGCGACTGGCTTTCACACCTGACCCAATGACGGATACTTTGTGCCTGATGTGCGAGTCTGAAGTGTGCTGCCGCCTATCGCATCTTGAAGGGCATTTAGCATTATTGCTGCACTTTACACGCGTGTTTCATTATACCAAACATTCTTACCTACACTGATATTCATCTTGACTGGCTGGAGCTGTAGGTGGCACGACTTCGAAGGGGTTGCTTCCTTCGTTTTATCTAATATTCTCCTGTAACCCTTC